CTCAATCTCTGTCGCTTCGTTTCTTACTGGAAGTTCACGTCCGGGAGTGCGTTTTTTGTTAGCCACAGAACCCGTTAACTTAAACTTTTGAACCAACTCTAGAATGTATTTTGCATTACAATGTTTGTTTGGATAACGTTGATTAAATAAATTTGCAGTAAGATGAGCATTCTCGCCATTTCTGAAATGAAGAGTTACTATTTCTACCCTTTCAGCAATTGTGTAAACCATAACGATTATGTGTACAAAAATTCACAATAAACAAATAATAATCTTAAATTCGAATTGAATCACTATGTGGTCAAGCTTAATGTGAACACTACAAAATACAGGTATAACATTTGGAAACAGATAACACATTATCAACCTTAATTTTATGATCAACTTATTTTTCCTTGCATGTGCGGTCTAGCTTAAAAGGTTTTTTTTTTTTATGTTTTTTAATAGTTTGTGTTACTTTTTGCTGAAATAAATGTTTGTTTAGTTAATAAAAAATGAATAAGTTTTTAAAAATTTTGTTGTCTGTTGTATTCAGAATCGCAAAAACTTCATTGCAGAAAATGTCCCCCTTGAGATTAAAATCGACCTGTCCGAGCGATTCGCTTGGACGAACACGATAACTCCGCCGTTTCGTTTTTGTTGGGTCACCCTGTATATAGATATAAAACAGTAAAGGAGGAGTGAGATTATATGTGAATAAAGTGCATTGTATGTAAATGTTTGTCAGCAAATTTGTATATCAAAAATACAAATATTTTATAGCTCTTCTATGCTTGAAAAAATTGTTAGTATATTAAACTGTATTTTGTTTATAAATCCTGCAAAAATCAATGGTTTACATTATTTAATTAACATGAAACATTTTTCTCACTACAATCACTCAACTTAATATTTATGTATATGCTTTTATAACAAATTCTTTACATCAAAGTTTTTGATCAATGAATTGCCCTTTGATAAATCTGAGAAAAATTACTAAAAAGATATGATTTTAAGAAATATTGATGAACATACAGCTAAATATAAATTATATGAATGGCTTCTGTTAAACAAATAAAGGTTTGCCAACTTTTATTTTCCATAATTAACATACTCGTAAGCCAATTTTTTTTTAACCATACAAAAATTATAATCAATTAGCAGGTAAGTCTGGCATTGCCAAGGCAAAAAAATAAGAACATTAAGATTAGGTAATTTTGTACCTCTAACCCTTCTATTGTATTATATTATAGAATTTGGTTTATATAACTATAAAGGTTATCTTACATAGCCAATCTTACTTAAATCTTATTTAAAATTTTCTCTCGTTTTTAAAAAAAATGTATTTAATAATTGTCCATTCTAAAATTAATTTAAGAACATTGATTATCAACATTAGTAATATAAAGACTACTAAACTAGAAACTAATACTCAATTGATACTTTTATATAATTATATGTATAATGTAAATTATTTTATTTATAAATTACTAGCTTACCCGTCGCGCATTGCTGCGATCTCAGAAGAAACAAAATTCAAGTAAACTCGTTATGATAAAATTCAATTTACATTTTATCATTTTTATTGAAATTTATTATTATTATAATTCATTTTTGTCAGGAAAACATTTCAAAGTGTCGTTTCAATTCTATTTATTTATTGGAGTGTTTGTGGATGCATGATATTTTTTGTTTTTCCGTCTGGTGCGTACACGAATAAATCAAAAGGTTTTCCGACGCGTGAGCTGGCCACATACAGTTGTCCATGTGAGAAGCACGGATTCTCCAAATTTAACCCACACTTTCGCAGCGATTGTCAGAAGTACGATATTCCCCATTTTTATATATATTTTTAATTCTTTACAATTTTAATTATTTAATTGCTCCTTCCTCTCTTCCTTGGCATGTTGTGAAATNAACGTTAATTTTTATGATTCTAAGTAAATTATGTTAAAATACATAAATTTCAAAAATTTACTAGAATAAGAACATTTTTTCCATATAGGCCAGAAAAATTCTTTTACTGAATTATTTTTCCTATATCTTTAGTTTAACATACAGTTTATGCTACATCTTATTGAATCATTTTTCATATAATTTAATTTTCTTTTTTTAAAAATAATTCTTATCTTCTGTTAAATTACACTTTATATTTTTTCATAAAGTTTTACTTTTTAGACTAATATAAGAAAAATATAGCTTTGATTATATTTGAACTTTCATAATTTATGTAGCAATAATGATTACTTATTGAAAATCAATAATTTTATAACTTCATTGGTAAATATTTAAATATAAATCCTAGTAAATAAATCATAACTATTATAATAACTGAAGTTAAATAAAAAAATTAATGGTTTTTAGAGTGCACTTAAGAGTTCTACTTGACTAATAGATAACATAGTTAAAGTTTGAACATTTGGCATATGTTCAAAGGACAAGGTTGTTCTCATCAGAATCGAGCATAATTTTTCTTCCAAGCTTTGGGTTTTTTTATAGATGAACTTGTGTCTTCTTGTATTTTATTTGTATTATTAATAAAGTCATTCATTCAGTTGTTATTTAAATAAAATCATTTAATTTTGATTAAATTTTTACTCAGTATGAATAAATTGTTTGTTGTAATATAATTCTATTAATATTCTTTAAATTAATTTAATAAATATTTATTTGATAATTTATCTATTTTATTTATTTATTTATTTATTTATTTAAATTATTTTCACTTATACATTTTTAAAATGTAAGTCATTTAGATCTCATAAATTTGCACATTGTTGCTTGCTAAGCTGCATTAAATTACCCATTTTTATTGTGAGCACTAAGTAGTCTTTCTGTTTGGAAGCCCATTACCAGATCAACAATGAATAACCAAGTGGTGAAGGATAAAGCCCAATATATAGGATGTCTCAGAAAAGTGAGAAATTTTGAAAAGCATGGCAGCAGCCCTAGGATCTAGAAGACACAGAATGACTGGTATAAAACCCTGCTTAGGGTATCTTGCCACTTAGTTATCATGAAGCAGTGGAGCGTTGTGCATCATGTGTCTGCAGTCAAAGCATTTTACAAGAACAATGGCAGTGTGGTGGCTATGCATAGGGAATTTCAACATCACTTCAATTTAAGATGTTACAATCATGTACACACCATTAAATTTATTAATTGTATTAAATTTTGAGGAAACCTACAGGTAATGTGTGAACTGCCTGTATGCCAGACAATATTGAGGCTGTTCAAGCCAATGTCATAAGAGGCCCACATTGTTCAGTTCAACATCAGGCAGTGTTAAATTGAATGCTCTAAGAGGAAATCACCAACATTCCTGTTGAAATAGTATGTTGAACCATGAAAAATGTTCCTAAGAGACAACAGGAATGTCTGTGCAGAGATATGATCAGAGATATGACTTAATGTTATCTTCAAGAAATAAATATTAGTTTGCAATTCATCAATGGCATACTCCGAACTATTAATTGTCATGAATAAATGCATTAAAAATATTTTTCTCCTCTATAAAACTGCATTCCAAAATTTCCCATTTTTCTGAAACACACTGTATACGGGTCAAATCAATCTTAAAAATTCCTGACAATCCATATCCAAACATGTATCTATTTCCCCAAATAAATTATAGGTTATAAATTATATTTCGAAAATACTTATATTACTCTAACAGTAACAACATATATATTTCTAAATGTAAATACTGCTATTATAATATATTATTACTATTTTCTCTGTCACAAATATTTTATTATACTAAATGAAATGAATGATTCAGGTACTAATGCAGTGTATTTAAAGACTTTCTAATAATTGGATTCAGTATTTAACATACTTAGATATTAGTATTATAACTACACTTATAAGGCTAGATGGATTTTTTTTATCAATATGAAATTAGTTAATAACTATAACATCAGTTATTAGCTAACAATTAAAATTTTTTGAAACAGTTTAATTTTTAATGCTAATAAGTTTTAAAAATTCAGCAAACTTTCAAAATTTAATTTGATACTGTAAATGATATTTGTCAATATAATTATTAAATTATTCTTCCAAATTTAATAATCACCTTACTCTTTTGCAATAAGAACAGTTATTTCTCATTATCAATTTAATTTAAAAGCAAACAACAAAAAATTCTGAACTGCTTGTACTCTGTTCCATTTGTAGCAACTGCTTGTACTCTGTTCCATTTGTACATAAAAAAATATATTTCTATATAAAACCAGTTGAACAAACAACAACACATTACAAGCAGTCAAAGATAGCAAATGCATGTAAATTGCATCAAAATATTTAATTAGTTTTCAAACTTATAAATTTAACTAAAAATGATAGTTTTCTAAAGAATAACATTAATTAGGTTATATCGAAATTAGAAAAAACATTTTGAAAAATGAATGAATACCACATTGGATTGAGATTAATTTATGTATTTTTTAAAGTTATATATTTATAATTAAACAAAAAATACATCAGTATATATCCTATGCATGTATGTAAAGTGCATAATTGTGTATAATATATATGTGTATAAAACAGATTATATATCATTTGGAAAACCATAAGNAATTTCAATTTTAAAGTTACATATTAGTAGAGAGGAAATAATATTAATAAGAGTTATTAAATACTTTCAAAATATCCATATTATGTTTTATCAGAAATGATAAAAGAAAATTACTAGAATTCATATAAAGGGATACCAATTAAATGACAGTGACACTACTTAGCCAGTTGCACATCATTAATTGACCACATGTTCTTAATTAAATTGTTGTATTAATTTACTGTTTCCAAAATGAAAACAACAATGTGAAGTTAAATATGATGTGGAGTCTGACATGACTGATTTGTTTGCCAAAATGAACTTTTATGATAATTCAAAGGAAATTTGTGGGCATCCATTGTATTTTATAGAAAAATTCACAAAACAGGTTCAAAGGAAAATATACAAATAAAAAGGAAGATAAATTTCCCCAAAAAAAGTTAAAAGAAAAACCAAACAAGACAATTTTAATGACACCACAAATTCAAACATGTTTAAATGCTTTACACAGATACAATAGTATCTGTGTAAAGTATTACAGTGCAAAAAACAAAATTTCTCTTTTACTTATAAAATGTCCATTTTAATTAATGGTATTTTAAAAGAAACTTTTTCAGTGAATTTAATTTAGGAAATTCTTATTTTAAATCAATAATAATACATTATGAAAAATTGTCAAAACTATTGACAACTGAGT